TAAGACCAACAACATTTAATTCTGGATATAAGCTTTTGCGAGCATGCACACTTCATCAGAGGCTTATACCCAGAATTAGACGCTGTTGGTCTTAAAGGTGCCCCTGGACTCAAACTATTCCGCTGCTTCAGACCAACAAGGCGGCCCACCTGACTCTACCCAGAACAATCTTCAGCAAGATTCTGCCAGCACTTTGACCATGCTGAGGGCGGCATCTACTCTGGGTTCATTAGGAGACTAAAATTTCAGCCAGCTGAATTCTGCATCGTGTAAAATTTGCTCGTGCGGTTAGTTGCTTGTTTTGGATGATTTGATTCCATTTTCTGCAGTGAGTCCTGGGAACAGGCAAAGAGCAAGGAAGGGTCCTCCTGGAGCCCCACCCGGAGCCCTGGAAATCCAGCTCATCCCTCTTTTCTCCAGCAACTGACCCTGCACCCAGACCCTAAGCTACCATGGGGCCCATGGGGCCTGGGGTCCCCCACGGTTTTTATGGGCCCCTCCCCCAATCCTCAGCACCCCCTCCCTCTCCCCAGCCCCCTCACGATTGATCGCTTCTTCTCCCCCCCCCCCGCACTAGACGGAGGGCTCAAGGCGATGCTGAAGTGTCTTGGATTGTTTAGACATACAATGTACATATAATGGCAGGCCCCCCAAGAAAGGTTGTTAGCTATGGGGCTGCCTGCACCCAGAGAGCCTATGCCCCGCCCCATCTTAACAGCTAGAGCATTGCTTTTAAATATATGCATTTGTATTTGAGATAGTTAAGGTTCTTAGAGCCAGATTCTAAGCTAGGGTGCCTTTAGAGGCTGAAAAAAAATTCCTGAGATCCAAAAGGCCACTGGTTCGAATCTCACATCAGCCAAAAACTCTGGCCTTAAGCAAAGGACTCTTTTTTTAATCTTTAGCCCCTGCCCCATTCTGTGTGGAGAGACAGTGTGGTGTAATGGTTAGAGTGTTGGACTAGGGCCAGGGAGACCCAGGTTCAAATCCCCTCTTGCAATGAAACTTCCTTTGTGATTTAGGGCCAGTTATTCTCTCTCAGCCTAACCTACCTCACAGGGCTGTTGTGAACATAAAACGGCAGAAGGGGGGACCAGGTAGACTGCTCTAAGGTCCTTGGAAGAAGGGTGGGATACAAATAATTAATAAGAGCCCTTCCTTACAGGGCTGCTGTAAGAACTGTTGTCAGCTGCTGTGATTATGTGAGTACATAAAGGCAGTTGTAATATATGTGAATACACTAATTATGGAATCATAGAATCACAGAGTTGGAAGGGACCTCCAGGGCCTCACAAATACCTCCCCCATCACACACATCCCCAGTGACCCCTGCTCCATTCCCAGAAGAGAACAAAACACCTCCAGGATTCCCAGCCAAACTGGCCTGGAGAAAAAATGCTTCCTGACCCCAACATGGTGATCAGCATTTCCCTGGGCATGTAAGAAAAGGCAGTGAGAATTAAGCACTAATGCAACCCTTCCTGCCTTCTCTCTCATGATTGTTATTGTGACTGAATCAAAGCAGTGTGATTGTGGCAGTGTACAACACAAAGCCCTGTCCACTTCTTCTAGTTGTACCCATTTCATAGACTTAGGGATCATTTTCTTTCTGTATGTCAAGTTTGTGGTACCAACATTTTTACTAATGCATTTACATCCTGATCCTAAGCACGTTTTCTTGGAAGTAAATACACAGTGGGACTGACTCCCTAAAAACATAAGAGAACATAAGAGAAGCCATGTTGGATCAGGCCCATGGCCCATCCAGTCCGCACTCTGTGTCCCACAGTGGCCAAAACCCAGGTGCCATCAGGAGGTCAGAACTCCAGAAGCCCTCCCACTTTTGCCCCCCCCCCTAGCACCAAGAATACAGAGCATCACTGCCCCACTCTTATGCTCTAATAAGAGTGCATAAGATTGCAACCTCAAAAAAGCATGGACAGAGCCCATTTTCCTTGGGAACTGCCCTCCATATTCCCCCTCTCTCAAAAAAATCCCATTTTGGGAGCAAGGCAGTGTGTGGAAATTAAAAATCATCCTCACACGGAGAATTTGCCATGCGAAAGGCACGAATGTCGGGCGGATTTTCGGGGCGCGATCACACTGCAACATCTGGGAAGCGTGGCGCACCTGTGGCCAACCTGTGGCATCCCGCCAAAGATGCGGAGTTAAAAAGTACCAAGGAAAGTGCACTAGTATCCGGGAAATGCGCAGCACAGGCAGGCGTCTGATCGTGGGAGCGCTAGTATCCCATGGCATCCGGCGCCCGTCCATGTCCCGTCGCAAACCGGATGTTTTCTGTAACCGCATGTGCACAAACATGAAATTGACAGCAGTGCTGCTTTGCGGAACTGCGCATGCGCACAAACGCGAAACACTTGTGTGATCGCGCCGCTTCTTTGCCACGCTGCAGCATCGCCATGTGATCACCAGCTACCAGCTGAAGCACAGAGACCCGGGGGACTGTGTGATCGGGCTGCTGCACTTTATTTTGCTCCAGGGCAAACAGCCACGCCTCCCCCCTGCGTTATCTGGCCCGTGTGACTGGGGCCCTATTTGTTTAAGAAGTGTACACAGCACCATTCTGCGTATCAGAAAGTCCTCAAAATGGTTTTGGAACAGGTTCCACGTACGATATGCTCAGGCCCGTAGCTATGGTGGGGCATCTCGGGGCTAGGCCCCCTGACTTACTGGCAAGGCCCCCCAACTTCCCATCCAGCCCAGGGTCCCCGAGCGATTACAGGTGTGGAGAAGGAGCCGGGTATTCCTTTAATTCGATTAGTCAGTGCCCCCTAAGAAATTTAAATGCCCTCTGACTTTAAAAAATCCTGGCTACGGGCCTGAAGATGCTAACAAAACATCACTGAAATGATGGGAAATGTTGATCCCTTTGTACTTTGCTCATATCATGGGAAGACAAGAGTCCCTGGGAAAGACGATAGTGCTAGGAAAAGTTGGAAGGCAGCAGGAAAAGAGGAAGAGCCAACAGGAGATGGACGGAAGAAGTGAGCCGTGACTCACAGAAGCACATGTTTTGTTAGTCTTTCAGGTGCTCCCGGACTCCTTCTCTCTCCTGCTGCTGACGGACAGACTAACACGGCCACCTGCCTTGATCTGACTGAGTCCAGGAAGCCACAAAGGCCCTCCGTTGGCAAGACCGGAGCAAGGCCGTTAACGAGAGGACGTTGTGGAGGACACTCATTCACAGGGTCGCCGTAAGTCGGAAATGACCTGATGGTACGTAACACACACAAATTATTATTCAAAGCCTGGGAAACGGGCTCATATCAATCTGCAGAGAGTCTGTGGTATGATGAGCCCTTTTTCTCCCTTCTCTTTTGCTGGTCCTGACTGTGCCCAGAAAAGCTCATAAGAAAGCTGAAAATTTCCTCTGGTAATTTTCTTTCCTTCACCTCCCTCCTTTGTAAACTAGCACAATGGCCATGGTTTACGGGGGTGGGGGGTGGGGGGGATAGAGTGTGTTTTTCCATTCTACTCCCTTTCAAGGACAAGAGATCACAGCCAGGGCATTTTTCAGATGTGGACTGGCATTCTCCTGTTCCACCAGGATCTCTGAGCTCCATCCCTTGCTTCAGCTGCCTCGGTGCGGCTTGACTGCGTGCATTCCTTGTCCAAGGGCACCCCAAGCTGGTGAAGGGACCACAGGACAGCAACTTGGCCTCCCATCCTCCACCCGGCCTCCCAACACATGGGCTGCACTGACACCCGGTGGCTATACATGGAACAGCACAAGGCCTTGCCGCTATCATGCAATTAACAGCCTCCACCCCACCTCACATCACACCCCTTAGCTTTGCATTGCATTGCACATTGGAATATGCAAAAATGCAATTTTAAAAAACCCAAACACTTCCAGCTCTGCTTCTTTGTCTCACCTTGTTCACTGTGAACCTGTGTCATGGAAGTTTGCTAGCCTGAACTAATTCTTTTAGCATTCTGGATGGTTTAGAAACAGGGAATGGACAGGAGGGGACCATCTATTCTGTCGAGATGAGGGTCATACTTTTGCCACTTAAAGCTGACAGAAGGAGGAGGAGGAGGAGGAGAAGGAGAAGAGGAGGAAGAGGAGGAGATTGGATTTATACCCCACCTGCACTACCCGAAGGAGTCTCAGAGCACCTTACAATCTCCTTTCGTTTCTCCTCCCCACAACAGCCACCCTGTGAGGTAGGTGGGGCCGAGAGAGCTTTCTTGAGAACTGCCCCTGAGAGAACAGCTCTGAGAGAACTTGTGACTGACCCAAGGTCATACCAGCAGCTGCATGTGGAGGAGTGGGGAATCAAACCCAGTCCTAACAACTACACAAAACACTGCAGCAAATGTGGCACAGTGCAATCCTATGCAGTTTTTCAGCCTTTCAAATTCACTCAAGTTAAGTCTATGGAACTCTGCTTATGCTTGCTTTGATAAAGACACCATAGGACTCTTGGAAGTCCACACACACACATGCGTCTCCCCTGTGAAGCAAAAGGGTTTTTTTCCTAGGCAGTTTATTCTCGCTTGTTATTTATATTCAAAGCGACTTTTGATCCTTTCATAGCAGATTGTTTCATCATGCAAACCATCTAGGAATCTCGGGAGTATATTATCCCTCCTAGAATTGAAGCAAGTAGATTATTTAGTGTTGACTGCCATCTACTGGCAAGAAGAGGGTAAGACCAGAGATACCCAAAATGATTTCATGCCAGCAATTTAAGAAAGAGTGAATTTTACACTGCAGGATTAATTCAAGGAGACTGTGCTGTTGATTGCAAGAGAGTGGGTGGAGGCCGGACATGAAAGGAAGAGCATTGAGCTAGTGGACTGAGAGACCAAAGAGGTGTGTCTATATCTCAGGGAAAGCCTGTCTCTGAAATGAAAGCAAAGCCCCTTCACTGGCAGTTCCTTTATTTGCAGGCCAAAGCCTTCAGCATGGGATAGAACGTGCAGTCCCCCACCACCACCACTTCTGCCCCAACATGCCCACCATCCAGCCGCTCTCAGAGCTGCTGCTCCACCTCCTCTACACGAGAGGAGACCACCTTGCCATCCACCAGCTCTTCGATGAGGGTCTTCACCCGGCGGGTTGCAGAAGGCTCTGTAAAGAGATAAACAAGACAGTGAGGCTGGAGAAATGCCCGTCCAATATCCTAGATGCTGAATGGGTATCTGGCTTCTTCCTGAGCCTCCAGTCATTCTGGTATAGACAGGTACAGAGGCGATCTCGAGGGGGGGGGGCTTGGTCCCGCTTCTGGGAGGTCTGATTCGCCATCGAACATGCCCAACCAAATCCAGCATCCAAGTAGAACTGGAACACCTCGTCAAACCACCCATGTCAGGTAAAAAGGATAGAAGTTCAACACAATTTTATCTATTTTCAGTAACTGGTTTGTTGAGAGAAAAGCAACAACAAGCACATCAGTGAAAACCTAGTACCAGAGTGCCAAAAAGGAAATCTGTTCAGTAATAGATGAAGTACAAAATATGTAGCTATTCACATTCCAGTTACCAGGAGTGTTCCCTCTAAGCTGAGTTAGTGTGAGCTAGCTCACAGCTTTTAAGCCTCTGGCTCACATATTTTTCTCTTCACTCAGGAAGGAGGGCTCCAGAGGCAAACTAACTGATGCAGTAGCCAAATCACTCGCTCACAGCTTTAATGCCAGTGGCTCACAAAGTAGAAATTTTGCTCACAAGACTCCACAGCTTAGAGGGAACATTGGTAGGCAATTCCAGGGAGAAAAAACAGCTATAAACCAAGACCAACTATAAACCAAAACAGCTATAAACCAAGCATGGGGGCAGATGACCACATTGCTACGGAAAATACACAGAAAATCCAGGCATTTATACTTTGTTTTCACTCCCTCCCCCCAACAATTCTAGCGGGCGCCCTGGTTTCAGCTCTCGCCGAGCCCCCGTCAAGCTTGGCGGTGGAGAGGTTCAGGAGAAGAACATAGCGGCAATTAAAGATTTGGTCACTACTGAGATAACTTCAATCAAGCAAGAAATAGAAGGAGTCAAAAAGGAGATTCAGGCTAATGCAACCAAAACTACGGAAGTGGAAGAGAAGATGCAACAAGTGGAAGAAAAACAGGATTCTTTGACTCAGCAATTTAGAAGATCAGAAACAATGATGGAGTTCAGAAGGATGCAAACCCATCTGAGATTCAGGGGCATTAAAGAGAAGGAAAATGAAGATATAAGAGATGAAATGATGAAGGCAATAACATCATATTTGGAAGAAGATGAAGGGACAATGGACTCTGATTTTGATTTGATATACAGAGTGAACTCCAGAATTGCAGAAAAGAAAAATTTACCAAGAGATGTTATTGTACAATTTGTAACAAGAACAACTACAGAAGATATTTTTAAGAAACAATTCACCGTCCCTTTTGAAATGGAAGGAAACAAGATTATGGTGATGAGAGAACTCCCCCGAGCAGTACTGCAATTCTTCTTCACATTGTGGCCAACCAGCTCCCCTGGAGGGCCAACAAACAGGGCATAGAGGCCAAGGCATCAGTCACCCTCCCAGCACTGGAATTCAGAGGTTTGCTGCCTCTGTATATGGAGGTTCCCTTTGGTCACCATGGCTCATAACCATTGCTGGACCTCTCCCCCATTCATTTTATTCATTAATTCATTCATTTATACTCCGCATTTCTCCCATTCTCAGTGACTGTACCTAGTCTCCCTTGATAGCCATCTATGCTTGTGGCCATCACAACATCCACTGCCAGTGAATTCCACCATTTACTGGCTTCTCGGGTAAATAAGCACTTCCCTTGGTCTGTCCTAAATCTATTGCCCATCGGGTTCCAGCTCTGCCCTTTTCCTGCTGTTGAAGCCAAAAATGAGAGATCACGGGAAGAAGTGGAATTCCAAAAACAACATCCGTGACACAAATAACGAAGAGTCAATAAAGATAAGTTTCAAAAACGTTTATTGTAGTAATTTCTGTAGAAAAAAAATTTCTATTATCTCTCACACGCAACGGATACTGCGCAATGAAAACAATTCGTTTCACAATATTTGCTTTATCTGAGCGTTTAGCAATTCTTATCAATTACTGCTTATCAACTCTTGAAGGAAACATTCCATGTTCACTCTCTAATAACAGAACCCAAGGTCTTCACAATAATAGAAGATAATAGAAGAAAATTTTCTACAGAAATTACTACAGTAAACGTTTTTGCAACTTATCTTTATTGACTCTTCGTTATTTGTGTCATGGATGTTGTTTTTGGCATTCCTTTTCCTGCTCTTGGCTTGTTGTCTGGATTGGATGTTGACCTGTTGGGAGGTGGCAAGAAGAAAGCTCTTCTGCTTGGAACTACAACGCCAGGGGTTATTTTTCCCCGCTGTGGTACCTGTAATTGAACCGATCTATGGCAGGATGTTTGTACTAGTGACACACTTCCCCCTAGTGGAAAGATCCCACAAAACAACAACAAAATCCCTTGCTCAGAAAACTTCATTCACAGCCAACCCACAAAGTGTTTGTTGTGAGAGGACTCATCACATACTGATTGTCTCTGAGGTTCTTGGAAGCTTGTGCCATTGCTCTAGGTTGTAACTTGCTCTAATCAAATCTGCTTTCTAGCAGTTCTTCTCCTCCGCAGGATGTGGTAAACTGATCTAGACAGTCTGGTCTAGATCACAACCCACTCAGTACATAAAGAAGAAGAATAAGAGGAGGAGGAGGAGGAGATTGCATTTATACCCCGCCCTTCACTTGGGGTCTCAGAGTGGCTTACAAGCGCCTTCCCCTCCCCACAACAGACACCCTGTGAGGTAGGTGGGACTGAGAGAGCTCTGACAGAAACTGGTCTTTTCAGGAATACTTCTGAACTATGGCTTGCCCAAGGTCAGGGGTCATTTTGTAGAAAAAGAGGTGCAGGAGCTCATTAGCATAACTCATTAGCATAACTGATTTGCATATGCCACACCCCCTGACATCACCGGAAGTGTGTCAGAAGGCAACACCCACCGCTCAGGCTCCACTGGACTGTTTTGGATTGCTAGCTCTTGGGGGGGACACATGCAGATCTGTCCTCGCAGAGGAGGGAGAGCTTGTACCGGAATAAAACCTGGTCTTAAATGTGCCACTGGACTGTTTTGGACCAGGGGAGTGGGGGTGGGGCTCTGCAGCTTACCTGGCTGCTTCTTGCTCTGACTGAGGGCTGCTGGGAGCCGGGGGTGGGGCTTGTTGCATGTGCCCGCCCCTGGGATCTTTACTGCCAGAGCTCCTGTGTGCTCCTGCAGGAAATGACCCCTGCCCAAGGTCATCCAGCAGCTGCAGGTGGAGGAGTGGGGAATCAAACCCAGTTCTCCCAGATTAGAGTCCGCCCATTTAACCACTACACTAAACTGGCTCTCATGCCTCTCCTCCGTTCCCCTCAAAGAACTTTGGGAAATGGAATTTTGTGCAAGAGCTGAGAATTCTTGGACTAAGATCTTGTGATCCTCGGGATTCTTTGGTTAAGAGAAACAGCTTCGAAATAGTTTCCTCTTTCCCCCTCCTCTTGGCAGCCTCAGCTTTCCCTCTTCTCTCTTTCCTACCCACTGACTAAACTTCCTTTTATCTGCCCCCCCTCCAATCTTTGGCTATATTAATATTTCTTTACTTTGTCTCTTCAAAACGGGGATCCAAACCTATTTACATCTTTCTCCTCTCCCCCATTTTATTTGCACAACAACCCTATGAGGCAGTAACCTACCAGGGAGTCTGGGAGCAGCCGAAGGTGACCTTGTAAGCTTCCACAGCAGAGTGGGGGTTTGAACCTGGGTCTCCCAGATCCTAGTCTGAATCTGAAATTCTTACCACTACACCACACTGGCTTTTGTGCTGTGGCTGCTGTTGAACAGGAGCAAGCAGCAGGGCCACAGTGAGTAATGCAAATTGCGAGGTTTATTACGAAGTAATTTTTTTTAAAAAAAAAAAGTTGATAAAAGGTCTAACAACCACAAAACCCTATATATTTTAATGAACACCATTTAGGAACACTTGCTAAACTATAACCAAATCTGAAAGGAAAATGAGCGCACAAAAACACGTGTTGGCACATTTATCCTCAATCCCGAAGCACTATATTCTCATTTTGTAGTTAGCCATGCAGAAAGCAGACAAGAGAGGGTTTTATGTGGGCATTTGATGGTTCGTAGCTGATGCACTATTCTCTTTCATTCATTAGGTTTATATTTTAAATGTCCACAATAGGTGCAGCATTTTCCAACGTTGTTTTTTTGTGTGCTACTGTTATTAAAAATTCATGTCTCAGCTCTGGAAATAGCAGCTGCAGTCTATTTGCAAAATTAACTTCAATCAGAGCTGACAGCGGCAAAGGAGCCCATCTCACTGGCTCAACGAGTGCATGTGCCTGCCCCCTGGGCTCTTTACTGCCGGAGCTCCGCTCCTGTGCACTCCTACAGTAAATGACCCCTGTGTGTACCTTTCTTGCTTGGTCAAAAAAAATTGATGAAGCCAGGAGCCAATAGTGATGTAATGGTGAGAATCAGATATATTTATTATTATATGAGAAAAAATGTATAAGTAGCTAGGTGGCTTACCTGGGAGGAGTGGTGGGTCAGCCTCTGATCTGAAGGGAGAGAAAGAACATTGGATCTGTTGAAGGCCCGCACACTTTAGAAGCTCCCAAAACAAGAACTGAATGTACAGTGCGTGTGCAAACACACCCACCTGGAGCCCTCCCACACACTGATATAAGCCCATATTACAAACATAAACCACTTTCAAACCAGTTTATAGTCGTGGTTCCACTTTCTACCAACATGCCATTGGGGGGGGGGACTTTTCCTCTAGATCATATTGGCTGGTTCGTCTGTGCTTTCTCGTGCCTATTTTAGGTGGGATACTCTGGTGGATCACAGAACCGCACCTGCAGGGTTGCATCTCCATACAAAGCTACTAGATTTCTGCTCCTTTTCAAAAGGATTTCCGTCACCGATGCACCTGCCTAGAAAGTAAAAGCATCGCTCCTCTGTGACATTCAGCACCTGGGCTGGTAGTGTGCAGATTCGTTCCCTTATGCGCATTGTCTAGAGTGGTTTTGCTTGGCCTTGCCAATGTCCTGGGCACCCTTTCTGGATCCGTGGCATGCCTGTGTTCTGGATTCCATATGCGGGTCTGCCAGGGGGTGCAAACCGGCCAGGGAACGTCCTGCCTTGTGGTCTGAGCAGCCTCCTGATCCCTTCCCACTAGGGCTGCCTCTGCCTGCTCTGGGTGGGGAAATACCAGGAGATTTGGGGGGTGAAGCCGAGAGTGCTGGATATTGTAACTGTTATGTCTGCCGCCGGACCAACTCCTGCAGCTGTACCGCTACCGTTCTGGCATCAACAAAAAGATCCTGGTCACCGTTCATCTAGACAGAGTTCCCTATGTCATGGAGGTCGATTCTGGTTCCGTGCTGACCATCATTTCATCACAGACTTGGCAACGTTTGTTCCCGCAATGGAGCGGCCGCCGTTTGACCCCGTCCATGGCGCACCTCTCTGATTTCCAGGGGCGGCGCATTCCACTAGCTGGCCAGGCCAGTTTTGAGGTGGAGTTCAAGGGTCGCAAGGTACAGTTGTCCCTCTTGGTTCCTGAGGGTAACCCGGCCAGTTTGCTGGGCCTGGATTGGTTCCAACCTCTGGGTATTGCTGTAACTAGTGTTAACAAGGTGTGTGCAAATAAAGGGAATTGCATTTATGACGAGTTCCCAGAGGTTTTTGGGGAAGGTCTGGGTCAGTATACAGGTCCGCCTGTGAGGTTCGACCTGGATCCCTCTGTGTTACCTATCTGCCTAAGGTATAGGAAGGTTCCAATAGCCATGAAGGCTAAAATAGAGGTGGAACTGGACAAGCTCATAGTCCAAGGTATTCTTGAACCTGTGCCATATGGTAAATGGGAGACCCCAATTGTAACGCCTGTAAAATCTGATGGAACTGTACATATATGTGCTGATTACAAGTGTATGATCAATAAGGCTCTGCAACAACATTCTTACCCAGTACCTGTAATCAGCCATGTGTTGGCTTCCCTTGGGGGGGGGGGGGAAATTTGCGAAACTCGACCTAGCACAGGCATATCAGCAGTTGCCTGTGGACGCTCAAGCTGCTGATGCCCAAATGATTGTTACTCATAGGGGTAATTTGTTTGGGGTAAATGTTGCCCCTGGTATATTCCAAGGTCTTATGGAAGGTCTCCTACGAGGGTTACCAGGTGTTGTCCCGTATTTCAAACGAGTCAGAGTTACTTAATCGCCTCAGGTCTGTACTGGAGCATTTTAAAGAGGCAGGCCTCAGAGTACAAAAGTCAAAGTCTCATATCAGGGTATCTGAGGTCGAATTTCTTGGTTTCCTGATTGATGAACAGGGTGTGCACCCCACGGCAGATAAGGTCTCGGCTATCCAAAACGCCCCTCAGCCTACTTCCAAAAAAGAGCTGCAATCATTCCTAGGCATTGTGAATTTCTATCACTCGTTTTTGCCTCACAAAGCCTCCGTAGCTGAACCATTGCATGCCCTGCTACACAAAGGGGTGGAATGGATGTGGGGGCCAAGGCAAGAAAAAGCGTACTGTGCTGTAAAAGAGCTGTTGTCCTCAAATACTCTTTTAACACACTTTGATGAGGACAAACTATTGGTTTTGGCGGCCGACGCTTCCCCATACAGGGTTGGCGTGGTTTTGAGTCACGTCATGGTGGATGGGCGAGAGGCTCCAATTGCCTACTACTCGCAGTCTCTAACAGCTGCGGGGAAAAACTATGCCAAGATTGACAAGGAGGACCTGGCTTTGGTGGTGGGAATTTAAAAATTCCATGAGTTTGTTTATGGCTGCCGGTTCCTCCTTGTCATGGACCACAAGCCGCTGTTGGGCCTGTTTGCACTAGACTGCCAAACGCTGACAGTTATTTCGGCCCGCATGTTGCAGTGGGCTGTTTTTCTGGCAGCCTATGACTTTGACCTTGAGCACCGCCCTGGCAAGGCAATCGGACCTCGTTTTTGCCTCACAAAGCCTCCGTAGCTGAACCATTGCATGCCCTGCTACACAAAGGGGTGGAATGGATGTGGGGGCCAAGGCAAGAAAAAGCGTACTGTGCTGTAAAAGAGCTGTTGTCCTCAAATACTCTTTTAACACACTTTGATGAGGACAAACTATTGGTTTTGGCGGCCGATGCTTCCCCATACAGGGTTGGCGTGGTTTTGAGTCACGTCATGGTGGATGGGCGAGAGGCTCCAATTGCCTACTACTCGCAGTCTCTAACAGCTGCGGGGAAAAACTATGCCAAGATTGACAAGGAGGACCTGGCTTTGGTGGCGGGAATTTAAAAATTCCATGAGTTTGTTTATGGCTGCCGGTTCCTCCTTGTCATGGACCACAAGCCGCTGTTGGGCCTGTTTGCACTAGACTGCCAAACGCTGACAGTTATTTCGGCCCGCATGTTGCAGTGGGCTGTTTTTCTGGCAGCCTATGACTTTGACCTTGAGCACCGCCCTGGCAAGGCAATCGGACATGCGGACGCTCTTAGCCGCTGCCCTCTGCCACAAACGGACATCGATCCGGCGCCAGCATTTGAAGTGCTGGCAATTGACGAACTTCCTCAGCCTCCGGTCCACTCTTCGGACATTGCTGCTGCGTCAGCTAAAGAGTCTACCCTCTCCCGTGTCCTTAACTGGGTTTGGAGGGGGTGGCCGGCAGGTAGAGTGGACCAAGAGTTCAAGCCTTACCACACGAGGCAAACTGAACTTTCAGTTGCAAAAGGTTGTTTGTTGTGGGGGGACCGGATGGTGGTGCCGCCCAAGCTAAGGGTGAGAGTTTTGGAAGCTCTCCACGATGGCCATCCAGGCATAGTCCACATGAAAGCTCTGGCAAGGAGCTATGTCTGGTGGCCCAAGTTGGACGCTGACATCGAGGACTGGGTCCGGCACTGTATGACTTGCCAACAATCGAGACCTGACCCACCTCAAGCCTCGGTCCAACACTGGTAAAGCACTAGTAAGCCTTGGTCTCGCTTACATATTGATTTTGCTGGGCCGTTTCAAGGCCAAATGTTTTTAATTTTGGTTGATTCTTTCTCCAAATGGCTTGAGGTTACTAGTATGCAGTCTACAATGTTGCAGGCTGTAATTAATGTGTTGCGACAGGTCTATTCCACCCACAGGCTACCGGACATGTTAGTGTCCGATAATGGGCCCCAATTTACCTCAGGGGAGTTTGAAAGGTTTCTGGGGGACAATGTTATCAGGCATGTAACAGCCGCTCCGTTCCATCCGGCTACAAACGGGCAGGCCAAATGGATGGTTCAGACGATGAAAGAGGCTTTAAAGAAGATGGTCCCGGGGACTGGGGGCAGAAGTTAGCCTCTTTCCTCCTGAGGCAACATATCACGCCCTGTACAGCAACTGGGAGGAGCCCAGCAGATCTCCTTATGGGTCGTAGGCTTACAACCCTTCTGGACAGGCTCCATCCGGACCTGACAGAAACTCGGCCCCCCAGAACAGAGGTCCTGGAAAGCCCGCGTACTTTCAAACCTAACAACAAGGTTTTCACGTGCAATTATGGAGAGGGTCACTTATGGCTTCCTGCCATTATCTGTGATGTTCTGGGTTCCCGTATGTATTTGGCGCAGCTAGCAGATGACAGGAAATTGCGGCACCACATAGATCAGCTCAGGCAGAGGTGGGCTGACTCCAGTCTCGAGTCCAGCACCAAACCTGACTCGATCCCTCACCCAGAAGGTGAGCAACGAGGGCTTCCAGATGAGGAGGTGAGTGTTGCGGAGCCCCCAATAGAACCTGAGTGTGGGTTACTCCCCACTCAGGACAGTGACACTTCTGAGACAAGCCAGCCAGACTCACTGGACAGTGAGCCATCCAGTGCCCCTGAAGCCTTAGCACCACCAGAACCTATTCGCAGGTCGGGTCGAACAAGGCGTGCCCCTCCCTACTTGAAGGACTACATATGTCCGGGTATTGTTCCATCTTAGGGGGGAGGAATTGTTATGTCTTTACCACTGACAACTAATGTTAAGCTTGAAACCTTAGCCAGGATTCTAATCTGGAACAATCTCATTGGCCAATCAAATGTAAGGGACTGTAATGGAGGGAACAAAATGGATTGGTTGTTAGCTATGTAATATGATTGGACCTTAACTATGCAAGGGTGTGGCTACACCAGCCCGGGAGTGTTTAAAAAGGAGCTGTGCTCCACTGTAATTTGTCGTGTGTCATCTGATGCTGTGTGATCTTTTGAAGTTCTCCTTCTCAATAAAGCTGAATCACTTGTTACTTACTTAGTTGTTGAGTTGCATACTTAACAGTAACTCTGCATGCAAGAGGATCTGGGAGGGAAAGGGTTAAGAGCAGGACTTTGGGGGGGCAGGAACGCACAGGAACGGAGTTCCGGCTGGCTTCAGAGTTGGCCACGCCCACTACAGCCAAAGCCTCTGTGTGCATGGCTACAGAGGGAAGGCCTGGAGAGCGGACCCCCGCCCGGCAACTCCGAGGCGGGCGGGCCAGGTGGGGGGCCTAGAAGGACCAGGGAGGCATTTAAATGCCTCCCCGTGCCTTCCCCGGCCTATCCAAGGGCTGGCTT